GAGAGACATACATTCAGTATACCATTCATTTATACCAGTAGTTCTCAAACGTTTTGGACCAAGTACCACCCCTGATCAAACCAAAGCATCCAAGTACCACCTACAAGTCATCTTCTCATAGGAACCCCAGAAAATCTCAATGACCAACATGAGCACGCGTGTGCACATACACTCATATACACATATAATAAATATTATAAGAATAACTTTATTTGATATAGTGCTTTTAAAGGTGGCTTCTGAAAGCACTTCACAGAATGACAAAAGGAACAACAACAATTAAAAATAAACAATAAAAAAGCACCATTTCAGTGAGAGGGGTGAGCCTGTTTAGTCAAGCAAAGCTGATGTGAATTCATTGGTCAAGCCTTGATACAATTCACAATAGAGTCTTAACAGATTTTAAATCGTCAGGCATTTGCTTGACGGCAAAGGCCTCGCGTGGATGCTGCAGTTCATATCTGGAGCAACCTCTCTAATTCGTGCAACTACACCGCTGTGTCGGCTTGCCATTGCTCTAGCACCGTCTGTACAAACCCTGACGCATTTTATCCAGCCGATGCCATTCTCTTCGATAAATTCATTCAGAAGCTGAAATATGTGCTCTCCTGTAGTTCCTGTTGGTACAAGAAACAAAAAGTCCTCATAAGACATGTCCTCAAACTTGTATCTAACTTAAAAATGAGCAATTGGCCAAATCAAAGACATCTACAGACTCATCTAATTTTAGTGAAAAGCATCTGCTCATTTTAACGGACTCTATCAGCGTACTTTTGACATCATCCACCATATCGATAATTCTATGAGTGACTGTTTTTCATAGGGGGCAGCCGGTCCAGCTGTTTAGTAGGTTTTTCTCATCACATAATACGTCAGCTCTTTTGCCGACGTTAAACAAAGTTCTTCACAAGTAGTGTGGGGCTTACCTGCTTTAGCAATAGGCAAGCTTGCATTTTTCCCCGTTTCCATTTCAGAAGTGACTCTCAGAAGTTAAAAGAAGTTTTTTTTTCATGTGCTTGGGAGCGAAACACAGAGAAGCTTTGTGTATTTTTCTCAAATTAACCTAGAACAGTTCATAAATACTTTTTTGTTAGAAAGATTGTCAGCGTTCGTAGCACGCATTTCTATGCTTTCCTGTACTTTCAAGATAGGCATTGTTCCAAAATCACACATATTCTCCTACTTCCCTATTTGCTGGAGATAACTTTTTTAAAATACAATTGGTCACTTTCGTTTGTAGCACGCATTCCTATACAATGGTATTGAATTACATTGTAGCTCTTGTGTCCACTCAATTAGCACGTGCTGTATCGTAGAACGTAGGCTGCGTATTCGACACAAACTAATTTTATTAAAATAGAAAAACCCGTCACAATTTTTTAGTGCACACAACTAAGTTACAGGGTCATTTGGCGTACCACTTGGCGGGGATCTGCATACCACAACTGGTACGCTTACCATAGTTTGAGAACCACTGATTTATACCATTTCATTCATGAGCTTTAATTACAACTTCTACACTAAATACTCAAAAGCAAGTACGTCACTCATAGGAATTAAATTGACATCAACTGGGGTATAGGTTACAATTGAATTCTCAAGCTGCAATGTACAATGTTGAATATTCATCCAATTTATGTGGATTCAGATCTCCCGCAGACACAAGGAACAGCAACAGTGTGTTGCTGCATCCAATCGCCATCCTCTGGCAGTCCTGGTGTGGATGGAGGTGTGGGAAGCAGTGCCTCTCTGAAGACCTGGCTAGTTAGTCCTGGCTGAACTAGCAGAGTTTGTGCATATGAAAAGTGACTGCAGGTCCAAGCAAGTCACACTCTTTAGATGGGAAGAAGACCGGTTCATTCCCGGTGAAGCGCTAGTCCTGAATACTGAGATTCACGAGTTCACTCGTTGATCAGGCGAGCATTCACGGTGGGATACCAGCCTTGGGAGTTGTTCTCCTCAGGAAGCTCAATCAGGTAGAAAAACACCTTAAATCTGAACCACATTGAATGGCCTCTCTGTGTCCAGCACCACTAAGATGAGGGAGAGACAGACTGGCAAGAGAGCAGCAAACTAAATTCCTGTATTATTAATAAGCCTTGCCGCTACACCTCAAAAGTTACACAATGTGTTGATTGACTCCACCAGTGTAAGAAATTACTGGATCACCTGTTGTCAATTATTTTGTAAATATAAATACTCCTCTCTCTGTGAGATCTTACAACATGGTAGAGACTTTCTAAAAGAAGTCAGAGATATTATTATAGAAAGGGGGAGGAATCTGGTGAAGGGTACAAGACTATTGCCTCAGTGGGGTCCATTGTACAGAAGTGAAAGAGTATGAAACTACAGCCACACTGCCTAGATCAGGCTACCCTCCTAAACGTAGTTGCTGGACTAGAAAGGCACTTATTAGAGAAACTACTGTGAGGCCAACAGTGACACCGAACAGCTACAGAAATCAGTGGCTGTGATAGAAGTTAATGCACATGGGTCAACAAGGCTTTCCACAAAAACAGCGTCTATGGGAGGGTTGCAAGGAAAAAGCCCTGGCTGAGAAACCCATATCCTTGCCTGCAAAGAGTTTTCAAAATCCCATCTAGAAGATACTGCAGAGACGTGGCAGAAAGTCTTGTGGTCTGACAAAACTAAAGTGGAACATTTCGGCCTGAATGGTCAGAGGTACTGTACTGTATGTATGGCTCAAATCAAACACTACACATCAGCCAAGTTACACCATCCCCTCTGTGAAGTATGGTGGTGGCAGTATCATGTTATAAGGATCAATGGGAAGATGAATAGTGTATATCGCTGACAAATCCTGGGCAAAAACCAGCTACCCTTTTGAGCCAAAAAGCTCAAAATGACGAGGACGTTTGTCTTTCAAGCAACAAACAGACTAGATGGGCTACAAAGGCATTTTAGTCTGTCTTATGTTCTTATTTCCATTTGCAACGTATATTTCTTCCATGATTAAATTTCAGATGTAGGAATACAGTAACTAACATTTACTATCTATAGCTTACAGTACTTTCAAATTCAAAGTTGGGCTTTACTTAAAAACATTATTAAGCCCCAAAAAAGAGAGGGCTACATGTCCAAATTAAATAATCATACTGTAGCCGTATTCATATATTTCCCCCCAAAGGATTGCAAAGAGCCTTATACATATGAGGGCAGCTATTCTGATCCAGCTGCCCCACTGCACAGCAGATCAGGTGTAGATGTGAGAAATTACTTCATCAGCTGAGCTAAGATGAATAAGGAGAGGGCAGATTGTGCAAGCACTGCTCCCTATTGGCTTACCACAAACATAAATAAGAGAGACACAGATTAACATTTAGCCTGGATAAAGTGGTCAGAAAATGGATGAATAGATAAACAATTATCACATCTTTCTGAAATATCAAGACTCATCACAATGTTAAACATGAACACTGGTGATCCTAATAACCAAAGGTATACAACTACATTAGAAGCCCTACTTCCACACAAAAAGGCCAGTGATAATAAAAAAAAAA